AGAGTTGATGGTTGAGCCAGGCGTACACGACCCCCCCCCCCACTCTAGGTAGTGTTTATCACTCGGTTCTAATGTTTGGCAATGTGTGTTAGGCCAGAATTTTTGAAAAAGAACGGGAATGGTAACGAATTATTACTGACAATGCCAGACTTTACAACATAGCAGCAACCCTTGGCTGGGACCACCAGCTACACAGTTCGGCCAACGACGCATGGAATGACTTAAAACGTAAAGCTAACTACGTTATACAAGCAGTCACAAAATTTGTACCATTACGACTATCGCACCGAACCAACACTCGCATCGGTATCAGAACGTTAAATGTAGCAAAAATGAGATGAGATTTGGAACCTACATGCGTTGGACGACCCATGTGATATCACATGGAAGAATTACAAAATTATCAAATACTACAGCACGTCACTCATTAGACCCGACTAGTTGCGAATGATAGGGGGCCATGGTACACAATTTTACGAGCGACACTAAACTACTTTACAGGGATGTGAATAACAACAGAAAGGTTAAGACTGGCCTATCACCACTCAAGACCGCCAGTGACCTAACGACTACTGCTGTGGATACAGTGAACGCACTACTCAAGCAATTTGGCCCAGTGACTACAAGCCCCATGGAACCTACGCCCTATCATTGCCTAGCAAATATCATCGGTTTATCCAAAATTACCTTTACCCCAGCAGCTGTCATAAGCAAAGTAAAGTCTCCCGGAGAGAAAAAATGCTCCATCAACCGACAAAATTTACTTAAAGCTTCTTAAAACCCTTATCTCCACCATTGTAGTGCATCTCGCAGCCTTTTTCCAGTGACTAGTTGATTCTCATACACTCCCATCTGAATGGGAAAATAGGACCATCACTCAGTTACACAAAGAAGTTGAGCGATTGGATCCTGCCAACTACCGAGTTATTAAACTCCATCCTGTTTTATCAAACGTGATAGGGTCGGTAATCGCTGATGAACAGAATCGATACGTTGAAAATAAGCAAATCATTTCCAATCTCCATCATGGTATCAGGCGCAGACAATGTCTCACCAATCTGTTACTTGCTCGGGACTCATGTACCAGGGGGCTGTTGAAGGATCGCCTAGATGTGATTTACTTTCGCTTTTCTAGGGCGTTCGACAAGTCTAAAAGTTAGTTCTCCTCCGAAAGTGCCTATGGTATCAACGGGCTCCTGTTCACCTGGTTAGGAGGTTGCCTACAAGACATAACCATCAAGGTAAGAATAACAGACACTTACTCCGAATCCTCTGTGTCTCCAGTGATGTGCCACAATGATTCGTATTCGACTCGCTACCGTTTTACTACATTAATGACCTCCCAGGAAAAATTTTATCCCCGATGCAAATATTTGCAAATGATGCTAAGGTTTGGAGAGCTACTGTCTAACTATCTGACGGTGCCTATCTCCAGAACCATTCGAACCGGATTCACGAATTGGCAGGAGGGAACCAGCTCCTCCTGAACTCTGCTGACGCTTCGCAACAGGTTTAACAAAACATATCTTTTGGGGTACGATACCCTCATATCGTTCTGCTGCCTTGTAGGTTAGTTCCTGGATCAAAGGCTCGGGATGGGGCCCTCTAAGACAACCCTCTACTTCGGCCTGGGCAACCGGGTAGTATCTCGCTCACTGACGAACCTTGTATGGGTCATCCTTTCCCTCCCCCAATAAAGAACATCAAAAAAAAGCAAAATTTGCGAGTGAAAGATGGACAATGGTTTATTTTCTTTGTTCATTTCATCTAACCCTGTTTTCCTATTCCGTTATAGTTCGGATGGCACAATAGCTGTACACAGATTGTGTTATATATATATATATATATATATATATATATATATATATAAATCAGTGATGGTTAATACCCATGCTGATTAATTCGTATATTCGTACACACGTTATGTATGCCTAGCGACTGTGGTTAAAACGAGACATTTGTTTTCGGAACATCTCCAAATACGAGCTACCAAGGCAACACGTGGTCTATGAAATGTGCCTTCGTCTAATCAGTTGGTTCTCCTCAGAATACCGACAATTTCGCGAGGATCTCATTTTTACATACCGGATCATGTAGGTCACAGTTAAACCTAGCTCCTAAAAGCCTAAAGGGAGTAATCGAACACACCCGTTTGGATTGTAGAAAAGTTTCACACTCTCTTAGAAGCTGTTCACACTAGATTACATTGGAAATACATATGGTGTACGAAACAAACGTCGTAACATTCGAAAAACTCATGTAAGTTGCGCATTTCTGTGAATCTCAAAGAGGCAAATAAGCAAAGCTTCTGACAAACAATTGTTTTCGATAAGTTTATCGTCAGTAGGTTACAATAATGGACGCTAAATTGGTACAGGTTAGATTACTGCGCAGCAGAACAACTGATTAAACGACTCAAATAAATAAACAAATGCTTTGTTCCCGGCATTACAGGGCACGCCTGCGAAGGCGTGATCATAATAATACAAACAGGTATGATCCGCAGTTGTATAAAAATATAGCAAGTTAAGCAGTAACACGCTGGATTCGTTTGTCCGTATATTTGTAAGTGTAATATTAGTGGACATCATGAGCGGACTTGTGAAGTATGACTGCATTCGTGAGTTTGTTAGCTGTGTTTACCATCGTATGAAGGGATCAAAGGTACGCTCCGAACTGGATGACGTTCCTGAAGTGTGGATCCTCCGTAAGGTGAAGATGTAGTGACTTTATTTAGTTACGAGTCACATGCACCATGTCGCAGTGTTGTTAAACGAACATATGTGGGTTTTAACAGAGTGAAGGTTTGCCAGGTGGAAACCCACCACGCCCTGGAACACTGCCGTCGAATTATTCCCTGGAACGGGATTAACCCGAACCACCCAGCTGGCGTTAAGTGAAGGATGTTCGGCTAGCCAGCCGTTGGTCAGGTGACTAGGTCACGGAAGTCATATGAGTGCTGGGATGTAATGCACTTCTTTCGTAAGTGGCTGCCTAAGGCATTTGTAGCGATGAACCATCTTCTTTTGGATGCATAACTTTGGATTCATCAGTCTTACACATACAGCCTCTGCGGTAGCAAGCAGACGATTCATTATTCTGTGCTTCCGGTGTGGTGGTACTTTGTATACGATGTGCAACAGTTTGGTTGGCAAGCTGGTGTCCGGTGTCTATCAAATGGTTTGTTAAGGAACTGCAGTTGACTCTGTTTGTCTGGTTGGTGAGCCAATTCGGGAGATTATCTTTGCTTCTCTTGCCTAAGTATCTGGTCGTTCGTCCAGTGTACCTAACCGCATAGGCACAGGTAAACCGACACATTTATCATTCACTGGAGATGATCAGGCAGTGAGTCTTTGTATCTCGGAACAAACAGAGGTTGGCTCGTGTACATCACATTTAGATCAGTTGCGTTAAAGGTCTTTCTGCAGCTTTGTATTATGCTGCGTTTACAGATCTCTGCTGCGTTGTCGCCCTTGAAAGGAAGAGTCAAAAAGTTATTTCCTTTTGAGCATTTGAGTCTTTAATTTCGTACTAGGATGTTTCATATGGGTGTCAATGAAACGTTCAGGATACCCATTCTCAAGAAGCCCTTGTTTGATCCGCCGCAGTTCGTCCTCACCAGTGTCGTCGCTACAGATCATATATACGCGGTTCGTTAGGGTGTATACTAGAGTTCTTTTGCGGCTGAGTGGGATAAAGCTGTGAAAATTCGCGCGTTGACCGGTCCAGTATGGTTTTCTGTACACGCTTATCTGAATGTATATATATCTCCTATTTAGTTTTGCAACAAGAATATTCATCTGACTATTACTGGGCCAGTCAGTACACGAATTTTCACAGCTTTATCCCACTCAACCGCAAAAGAACTCTAGTATACACCCTAACGAACCGCGCATATATGATCTGTAGCGACGACACTAGTGAGGACGAACTGCGGCGGATCAAACAAGGGCTTCTTGAGAATGGGTATCCTGAACGTTTCATTGACACCCATATGAAACATCCTAGTACGAAATTAAAGACTCAAATGCTCAAAAGGAAATAACTTTTTGACTCTTCCTTTCAAGGGCGACAACGCAGCAGAGATCTGTAAACGCAGCATAATACAAAGCTGCAGAAAGACCTTTAACGCAACTGATCTAAATGTGATGTACACGAGCCAACCTCTGTTTGTTCCGAGATACAAAGACTCACTGCCTGATCATCTCCAGTGAATGATAAATGTGTCGGTTTACCTGTGCCTATGCGGTTAGGTACACTGGACGAACGACCAGATACTTAGGCAAGAGAAGCAAAGATAATCTCCCGAATTGGCTCACCAACCAGACAAACAGAGTCAACTGCAGTTCCTTAACAAACCATTTGATAGACACCGGACACCAGCTTGCCAACCAAACTGTTGCACATCGTATACAAACTACCACCACACCGGAAGCACAGAATAATGAATCGTCTGCTTGCTACCGCAGAGGCTGTATGTGTAAGACTGATGAATCCAAAGTTATGCATCCAAAAGAAGATGGTTCATCTCTACAAATGCCTTAGGCAGCCACTTACGAAAGAAGTGCATTACATCCCAGCACTCATATGACTTCCGTGACCTAGTCACCTGACCAACGGCTGTAAACCACTGTGGATCTTTTACTCAATTTTCTACTGCGCAGTAATCTAACCTTTTCCAGCTTAGCGTCTATTATTGTAACAAACAGATGATACACTACTCGAACACAATTGTTAGTCAAGTTTTCCTCTCTTTTTCCTCTTTGGGATTCGAAAAACTAGTAGACTTCCATCTAAGTGATTATAACCTGCAATTTCCAGGCCGGCAATATTTCACATTCTGCGCCGGAAAATCTCGACTTGCTTTTCTTTTAAATTTATCATCTTGTTAGTCTTGTAAGTCCATCGCTTTTATCCCATCATATACTACTGAACTAAATAAATGCATATTTGTTGTGACTAAAGCACGTTCCTTTCTAACCTATTGATGACTTCAACAGATAAACCTCTGGTCAGCCAGGAACCCTACCTGCCTGGGGAATACACGCAGCCCGGCACTAGGGAACTATCAACTAAGCTCCAAAGTAAGCTGACTTACACATTTTAACGAATACCAGAATTTTTATACAGACGTTTTATTCAACCAGCACTTATACCAATAAGCAACTTTACACCCATATAAAATCCCTCCCTTTGAAAAATGGAATTTAACAGCAGATTGTCCACTGGAAAATTGCTGAACCAGTGATCAACACGAAGCACTTCCAAGCTCTTCGATGCTAGGCAATACCAAAGATTATGCGATTTTGCTAATAAAAAGCCTTGTAAATTGTAACACATCACTGTTCTTCCCACAGTTTATTCTATGAGGTCACATGCTGAGCACTCTCTGCAGAGTAAAGCACCCGTTTCCGTTTTAATCAATAACTGTTCAGCCATACCATCCCAGGCGTGTTTTGCATAGAAACAAAGATAATTGTCTTCTTTTGTCATTAAGTTGCTAGCAGTCGTGCATATTTTATCAAAAATGGGGTCATCAAGTAGGTGGTAAATGATATGATAATCCCATTGTTGTTTCTGTAAGAGCACCTGCTCAGATATGCATGCATTAAATCTAACATTTCACAATTAGCTTGCTTATATCAGTGAATGCAACAGCGCTGGTGGGTTAAGAATCTTTCCACTGATTCAGCATGTTTGTGGTTTAAATAAAGGTACAATCTGAAATAGGTTTGGAATCAAATGTTGCCATTACTGCAACGTTGAACCTACGGTTACTCTGTCGGGTGATTTATTACTCTGGTCCGTAGCTAGGAGCGGTTGCACTCAAGTGCTGACGTACAACCGGTACGCTGAATTGCTAACTGTCCAATGGCACAAATTGCTTTGCCGCAAGGGTGAGATGGAAGACAGGCGCTAAAAATGTGCCTACGATCGCGTAGCACACCGAGCTGTGATAACTGAGGGTTAGCCAGACTCCACAGCCGAAACGAATGCGTTATGCCTCGACCGCATGGCAAAACCTAGGGAACGCACGCCGTTCAGCTGTGAGAACTGGACGTGAGCCGGACACCACAGCCGCACTGAACGTGTCATGTTTCAATCGATCGATAGGCGGCCTTCATGCAGGTGAAAAGCCAGCAAAAGGATTACCTGCGAAGTGTGTCGCTGTGTTAGCAACTGAGAAAAGCAGCTTGGACGTATGTGATGACCGGTCGATGGGCGCCGTATTGCTATCGCCACAAAAGCTGTTATTGCTTCTTGACTGGCTTCAAACAAATCCGTAAGTGTTAAGTTGTTTGCTTTCACTGCTAAAGGGAACCATACTGCCAGGAGCACATTGTAAGGTTACAGTGTTGTTCGCTTTATGGTTTCGATCACGTGTGTGTTACAGCAGAAAATTCACCCTTCATGGGTGCATGAAAACGATTTCTTGATTTGACTTGACGTGGCATTGCTCTTAGATTTCAGTCTGCCCCGACGCACTGGTAGCACCATTAGACAGCACACCAATTTATTCATTAATGCAACTATTGCCCTCACAGTCAGACAATTGTTAGTTCTACTAACTGATCAAGACTTCGATTGCGTTGCTCGTGTACGATGGAGATTACACATTTATTCATTTCTTTACTTCAATTTACGTGAAATATATGAAATGTTTGTAAATATCAACGAATTAGAGGTTTGCAACATCAAACAAACGGACGGCCTCGCATCGTCGCGGATGAAGTATCAGCTTGCACGGTTGCGCAAGAGGTATGCAGTAACAGCCATCTCAGCCTTCGGCAACTCGCACGACCTTACAAAACCACACGGTATGCTGTGCATCAGATATTGAAGGGAAATACTTCCGGCAGTACAATGCACTGCAAATACAAGTGCTTAACGCATACAATTCACAGAAGCGCCTGGAATTCGCCCGTTTGTTTTTAACTATTCTGGACGTACACTCCATTTTGTTCACCAATGAGGAGGTGTTCCCCATGCATGGCATTGGCGGCAACTGACTAACAAATGCTTTTACTTTGTGTTTCAAAACAGTGTGATATGTGTTGTAGGCAATGTTAGATCCTTGCTAGTACAAGCAAGCACGTGTCCATCTTCACAAAGGTCTAAAATTGTCTGCTTAACGTTAGTCGGGGAGGTGGAAAAGTCATGTGAGATGGTGCGGGAACGACAGGCTGACAACTTTTAACCCTAGTGGGACATACTTGACTCTTTGCTCCATGTTCAGCCTTTCCATGGCGGTAACACTGGCCTCCACTTGGGTATGTTGTTGTATATGTTGAAGAGTTCAAAAGGTGAAGTTCATTAGATGAAACACTGGAACGAAAACTTTAACTTCGCTCGCTAACTTCGACCTACGCATGAGCTACTTCTTGCCCGGGTCCCACAAGCGCATGTCGGCGTTCTCAATTGCCAAGCCTTCTCTGATCCCAGAACTAAACAGACCGGAGATTAGTTGCTGTACACGCACGGTTTCTCCCAGCTTCTTCTTGGGAACCCTGTTATAGCCTTAGCTTCGCACAGAACACACACGCTATAATATGAAGTTATCCAAATGCTCGCCAGGTGTTTGCTTCGTATACATATAGCTGTACCGGAAATTTTGCTTGTTCATGAACATTTGCCAGTGCTTATCAATAACGAGGTAGGCATCGTTGAGTGTGAGCTTCTCGCGAAGATTCAGGGCGTCAAATATACGCCGACCTTGCAAATCGAGATGCAACCACAAGTGTTTCAAAATATCCTCTGGTCCTAACAGCACATATGTATTGAAGTTGGGTAGAACCGAAATGTACTCAGCAAAATGGTCTTTCATTCCCCCGACATTATGATTTTGGCGTAATTGCAGGTTCCGTCCGGAATTGTGTACGGGCTTGGTTGGCATCCTGTTGTGTCCATGAAAGCAGAACAGTGATTCAGTACAGTAAAGGAACGTATGGACACTCGATACAAATAACAGCGGTTGTGACAGTTAAACCATTCACCCAAGACAAAGTAGTCAGTCGGAAACAAGCAGATGCATTCGTCTACACATCATTACTTGAGCTTAATTAGCTATAACGAATCAATGACCATCACAATTACGGTTACAATGGTAGAGCGCAATTTGGCAGCACCATATAGTGAGGAATGTTCGATTAAGTGGTAGAACACTAGATCTGAACTGATGAAGTTGATGCTACAACGGTGGTCACTCAGCTACACACAATTATTAACAAACTCGTAGTCCTTCACTTCGGCACCTCTGGAGTCTTTGTGGTAGTAACTGGCAAGCAAGCCGTAATGACACCAGGTCGGCCTGTTACTTGCCTTAATCAAAAACCCAAAAGCGATACCCAATGGGAATGTTGATGGCACGCAGTAGATAATTAATTTTGAATGTCGAGAACCTAACTCAAGTGGATCCTGCGAAAGGAACAACGGATGAAATGCACCAGTATGTGAGTGCTTCGATATGATGTGACGAATAAAATAGGCTGGTGCTTTTAGAACCATAACATTCTACTCGAGGCCTAAGTCTTGTTGCTGGCTCAAGAGGGCATTACGACATTTGCAAACTCTCCGTTCGACACTTCATCGCCTAACCTAACTCTTACGTTGGGTCTTCGCATGAACGTGGAAATAGTTAAATCAGTGTGTCTCCTGTTTGATGTTATAACGCATGTATTAACTACCATCTCAATACATGTTGGCCTACTTCACATGCACGAAGTGTTCCCACGAACCAAACCAGGTAGTTTTGCATTCTACTTTGCTCCAATTGCAACAGGAGCCAAGCAAACCCTCAAAGAAAGAACAGTAAGCGACACAGGCAAGTGTGTTCTTTCGTGACACCAGTCGTCCAACACGGGGAAAATTGTAGTTATCGACGGCCTCGTACACGACAAGGCCCATATTGCTAGATCTCACACCCTATTCTCGAACACAGCGGCGGACACTGCCTGTCGTATGGTGGCTTGCTATTATACCTTTTTATAGGTAACTTCAAGCATAGTGCTAATAAGTTAGCGTGTTACAAAAATCAAAATTACGTGTTGTGCATTTAAATTCACGCGGGCATCAACTCATTCTCTTCCTGAGGGCTTACATGCATGCACTATCAGTGACACACTCATTGGTCATGGTCATTAGACAGTGGGACTCCCTGGATCTAACCACAGGGCTAGATGTATGCGTCTATGGGAACAGGTGTGCTCCCGAGTAGGTTGACAAATTGCTGTTAATGGAAGGCATACAGGGCTGATAGTGTTAGTTCTAGAGGTCACTACCAATACACCTGCCTGTAGCTGACCAACCTAGGATGCCGTGTTTACACGTTTGCCGTCGGCAACACTTTAACAGATCTTTTGTCAGAAAGACTTACTATTGGTTCGTATTCTGACCCGGCCGGTAGCCGGTGTCACTGTGCCAAATTTCCAACGCTTGTACTAACAGTCCGAAACGTAACGAGCACACAATTTGTGCTGTGTCCAAGATGCACAGTACCAGTGGCACATTTAGGCTCCAGGTTAGTAGTACCTCTGGTCGAAATAATATAGCGCATGAAGACAATAATAATAATAATAATAATAATAGACATATTTCTTCTAAAGTGAAAAGCTGTGGCAATATTTAGCACAGTACACACACGCACAGGTGATGTCATGCTATTGCAAGCGCAATAGCAAGTTATCTTCTTATATTTGTCTACATTTCTGGAAAGCTATTTGCCTCATATGTTTGTCTTATGCGATGGTAGGAGATAAAGTTGCAGGTTGAGTAATGGTAGACACTGAGAACCAAGTACCTTTTGTGAAATGGTGATACCACACCCATTAGGCCTTATTTGGGCTTTCTTTGAATGGATGTTCAAATGACCTTCCCCACCAAAGAATGACATAATGGGGTCCAGGTAGAGGTAGCTTCCCAACTTACTGCGAAGGGATTGCACAGCCTCACACGACCTGATGGTGAATAGCAAGCGATTCCACAGCGAAGCATATATGGTGAGACGAAAGTTAGACCGCAAATTTGTTTTTCGTCGTGGTATAATCAGGGTAAGGTCTGTGTTACCTAGGTCTCGTGCGTAATTGTGCTGCAATGTTAAGGATGAATCGATTGCAATGAGTATTGTCATGAATCAGATTGTGCAAACGTCTCCAGGTGTATTTTAGTCATTGCAGCCAAAGCGGATGAAGATGGAGTTGCTGGCATCGCTCCTGAGAGTTTAGGATAGATTTTTTTCCAGTACGTACTTAGTAAGCGACCGTTGAAGGTTTTTTATCGATGTTCTGTCTGATTTCTTCATATTG